GCACGCACTCTTGCTAACATATTTTTTTTTGTCTTTTTAGATTTATTATTAAGTATTGTTTTCTTCGCACTTACGCTATGTCCATTTCAATAGCAAAATCACAAAATTTATAAAAGCAGCATTGCAGCATATGTTTAGAATTTTCAAAGCAGTGTTAAATGTAGGCATAACATTTTCCAATTTTTTAAAAAGTAAACTAAGAATATTAATTATTAAGAATATTGATATGATGGACTATTAAATTAACATTAATAGTATTAAATTAATAGTATAAATTAATAGCATTAATAGTATTAAAGTTAATTTAATACAGCTCCAATTTACTTTTTATGTGTTAGGTTTATTTGTTAAATATCATGTTCTTCACCCTTACGCCTCATACAATTCAATTCAACCGCAAAATCACAAAGTATTTAAAAACAGCATATGTTTAGATTTCTGAAAGACAGTATTGTGCACTGGGAATAAAAACGTTTTATTCCGTACAGGGTTGCCATTGCTCGCTTTCAAATAGGTGAGTTTATTAATCAAAAATTCATTAAAGGTTTACAAAATAATAATAAAAAAAATAAACAAATACACAACGTCATTGTGTGAAAATATTTAATATTTTTAATTAGAGAGATCATAAATTAAATGCATTTCTATCATTTAAATCAATTCGATTCAAAAGTAAGAAACGAATATTCTGAAGAACAGCATCTATTGCTTTCAGATAGCTTAGTTTGTTAATCCACAACAGAGAGACTCAGTTTGAAAGATAAATATCTTATATTTTGTCGAATGGCAACAGACTCTAATGAAAAGTGAAACGACGTACTTATAGTGATTTGATGGAAAATCCCGTTTCGAGATTAATAAACTTTTGGGGCTAATAATTTAGCGCATAGCGTTTGCTCTTAAAAAACGAAGAAGTTCAAGGGATAAGATTTACAAGTGAAATTGATCGCTAGTAAAATCCACGTAACAAAAAAGAATTTTACAGATTTAGCCAACTATCCAAATGTAGAGTGTATAGCATTTTAAGAAACGTTTTATTAGCTGAAATGGAGTAAAGCGAAGAAACAGCTGCTATTAATTTAAAATGACAAAAATTTCTGAATATTCCTAGGATAAAAAACATAATGTGCCAAATTGTAACAAATAATGCATATAATATAACATTTAGAACTATTTAAAACAGGAACTATAAATACGCAGATTATATAAAGCAGAAACAGAGAATATACAATTTAAAAACAGGAAGGAAAAAAAGGTATTGAACTGCTTAGAGGTGGTGGTAGTGATGATAGTGATTTCGGCCAGTATCATGGCCCAATGTTGAAATCTCCCTGAGGATCTTCTTATTGGAATGATCACCATATAAAAGAGCAACATAACTATGTAATTAGCATTTATTTAATTAAAATTAAATAATTAAAATGATTTGGAAAACGAAAAGCCTTAAGACTGAAAAAACAGTTTACATCTAATAGACAAGCATACGTTTAAAAAAGCTTATTAATCTGACATTTTTGCTGATTTAAAAATTTTTTTAACTTTAATGTCTCTCAATAAAAAAGCTAAAACTGTTTTTTACCTGAAATTGTTTTTATAGCTTCATCAAAATTAGTGCATCTAGGTACTGCATTTTCAATGAAACTGATTACAAAACTGCTAAGTTTTACTTGGCTCATTGTTGGCCAAAGATAGCTTTTAATCAAGCTTCTCTCTGAAAAGCTTCTCTCGCAAGTAGGAGTTGAAACACACACTATCAAAAAAGGCTTTAGTGCCAAATACAACTTAGGGATTGACGCTTGGAAGTCCAATTCAGCAACAAATTTTAACTGAATGCTGACCACTTTTTATTTTTTATATTCCGATCTATAGGTACACTCTTTAAAAAATGGGACAGTTCTATATCTCCCGTTCTACTGGGCCGATTGACGAAACGCAATTTATGTTTGTCATATCTCGAAAGCGCGACTTAGGGTATATATTAGATTTATATATAGCATCATTGAAACATAGGAACTTTGACACAAAAATCGGACTTTCTGAAATGACATGACATTTTTTTTTTCCATATTTCAATTCTACGACTCAAATTACGCCAAACTACCAAGTTTTGTAAAAATCGCCCGAGTAGATTTTAAAAAATTAGCTCACAAAATAGCTCACATATATACTTTAACAATTTAAGGATTAAATCTAGTTTAAATTACTGAATTAAAGGCCAAATAAATTATTGTAAGTAAATGAAATAGACTGTTGCAATTGTAAACAGTCGATAAGACCTACATGGCGAACAGGCTTGTGTAGGGTTGCTTATGCTTAGTCGCCAGTATTTTCTCCCACGCCAGCGGTACACCATTGAGCATGCGCAGTAAGCGAAATTCGTTAACATTGATCAACTCAATGTGCGGTTTGCCATTAAGCAACTCGGGAACGCAATCGACACCTTGGCGATGATGCATTATCGTCCGCTACCTTTTAGCTCGGGTGCTACTTATAGAGTGATTATGATTTTGTCGAAGCAAGAAATGAAAATTGTGTAATACATTCAACGGGACTCTAATTCCGAGTATTCCGATTGCTAGTCAGAAGTACTTTCCAATCACACCACGAAGGCACGCAGTAATACAGCAGAAAACTTTTGCCTCTAACCCTCATATCAGTAACTCCGCTCTAGATCTTCTCAGTGCCACTGATGGGCATTAACACGTAAGTTGGGATATTACTTGAACAAACTACATATACGTTTTAGTACAAACTGCTCTGAAGACTTTTGCAATATATTTATCAGTTTGTTCAACATTACATTCCTTTATGTTGAGACCTAAACTAAAGACCTATATTATGATTGTCAATAATTCATCGATTTCCACTAGTACCATTTTATTCTTTTTATTTCGAGTCAGAAAAAATTATCTAAACTATTTTAAATTAACTTTATTATACACAGACAATCAATATAAATTATATGAGAAATTAGTTTGTGTTCTTTCTAGATAATGACTGTATGAAATACTGAATAAGATGGTTAAACATTTTAAGCTTTAAGAATATAAAAGCTTGCTAAAGAACTAATAAACTTTTATTAAAATATTTCTGTAAATACTAAGATAATAATGACTATCATAAATAAAGCTCATCTTTCGAAGAATAAATCACCCCCCGTTAAAGTGAACGTCCTTTACTTTAGTTTAATTATCTAAAACTTACTAATATTCCAAATAAAGCTGCTGATTTTTATATTTGTAATCCATATTCGATAGTATCCCTCTTGTTATAGACACAAGCAATATGTTTATGTATACATTTAATTACCTTTAATGTTTAATAACACTACAGTAATTTTTTGACAGTTTTACAATACTGTAATTCACCAGTGAAATATGATTCCGTCTGTTTATATTAGTTTTAACTAATGTTAAAAAAAAAAAGGATTTATTTTTGAATAACGCGAAATAAATTAAACAACATATACCATCTATTCTGAACCGGTGGTACGTAAGAGAAAAATAGATGGCACCTTAAGAAACAAAGTATTTTTAACTAATTAAATTCAAAAATTAAATACCCCAACATCGTGTTTAAGTTTGTTCTCTAAGAATCGTAAATTTATGCGATATGAGCTTTGTTCAATCATTGTTTTTCTTTGATAAATAATTTTAACATGCATTTTCACGAGGATTATGATAGAAAATTGGATTAGAAATCCATTTTGTTCAAATGTCCCTGAATTATCTTGTGAAGAAAAAGAACAATTGATAGATATTTCCTGTAATCGAACTCGAACTGAAGATTTCAAAAATAACACAATTGTTAACTTTTGGCTGAACTGAAAAAAAGAATTTAAAGGCATTTCAAATAGAGTTAAAAAATCTTTATTGCCTTTTTGAACAACCTATTTGTGTGAACAAAGATTTTCTTCCATGTTATATTTGAAAAAGAAATACAGAACAAAAATTAAGTGGATCCTAATTTATGGTCAAAACTAAGTGAAATAAGACCAGACAGAAGAAATTGGTCTGTCTTAACCCTCTGAGCGTTATGGCCGGCTTTATCCATTCATCAGAAGTTTTGCTACTTGACATATATTAACTTAATAATTTAAGATATTTGACTTTTTTACTTTCTTTAATAATGTAAATATAATTTTAATGAATGTAAGTTTATGAAAATAAAGACTAAAATAAGTAATTAAAGCCCAAATTTTACACTAAATTTTAGAATTAAAGTATTATAACATAGATATTGATAATTAAAATAATAACCAATTTTTAATCTAATTATCTTCCACTACATTTTCATTGAGACGCGTATTTAATGCAAACAGCCAATAGACTGTGCAAATGGCAAAATATATATATTTTAAATATTTTTATTGAGAAATTGAAAAATATTCATTGTAAAATGTAGTAGTGGTTACTGAAGTTTTTCAATTTTCATTTAGATGGTTATACGTTAGTCAAAACGTTGAGAACTGCTGACATATATTATTTAATACACACAATTCCATTTTGCTTCTCTAACTAAAATGTGAAAACTATCCATTACTAGCTGCCCATATGGGAAGCTCAGCGTATAATATATTCATTAATACAGAGTTTTATTTTCAATTTGATAAACAGTCAAGAAATTTGGCATTCCAAGCTAAATAGGTGTCGGTAAGAACTTATCCCTGTAACGGGAAAATGATATTAAATGGATTGGGCAGAGATGCCAAACAAATAACGGAAGAGCAAATAAATCATCTTTCCATGAAAAGCTTACTCTGATATCTTTTCCACCATCAAGAGCCTCCTCTCTCCGAGCGAGCGGTTAATCATTTGGGATATCTCAATGACCGACACTCTAGAATGTTCACGGGATGATTTTTTTCTTCGGGATTCATCGGGGAAGAAGAAGGAGGAGGGAAAACTTGTTTCTTTCCGGAAGAAGGCAGCTTTAAGACCCGCTCTCGTGACACCCAAAAAAAGAAGACACACGCGTCAGAGAGATTTGGTTTGTCTGTGCGGGTATATAGATAGAGGACCGGTCTTGTTGTGACCTGCCGTCCCTGCTCTTGACCATCGCTATAAATAGAAGAGGTAATCCTACCTATGATCTTCATTTCGCTGTGTCAAGGTCTCTCTACTCACGTGTCGATCAGCTGGTAAGTTAACTTGTCTTGGTTTTGTTTTCGCGTGCGTCGCTTACGATTTCATTCGCCGTAGTTATTCCTTCGAGTTTTGTATCTTTTGAAAGGAGATAATAAAAAGCACAAAAGTAGAAAGGAAAAAATTTTGCAGCTCAGCGTATCGTTTAATTATTTCAAAAAATATTTTGAATAAATAAGTTTTAAGTTGTAAATGGGCCAGCATAAAGAAGTTCATAACGCTGAAATATTTAATATGTGAGTTTACTCAACGGTAAAACTATGAATTTTATTTATTATTATAATTTGCTTTTACCTTTTGAGACCACCTAAATGCATTTTCTAGCTTATTATTCGATGTTTTTACATCATGCTCTCCACGGAAAAGGTTGCATCTAATAAAATTGCAAATTAAAAACCGTGAGGTTTTCTGACAAAATATTTTTGGGCAAACACATTCAAAACATGTATTTTTGTTTTAACTTCCGAAAGAATGAACGTGCGCGATGAGTATTATATAAAAATAAAGTTGCAATGAGATCCAATCCTATTCAATTTGTTTTCATTCTACACTTTTGTTTAGTCATGGGTTTAAAGGCGAAACAAATGTGAGATTTTTGTTTTTCAAATTATCTAGAATTAAATTTGTATTCATATACATTTGCTCTAACTAACTAGATTTTTATACTGGATGTATAAGGAGAGACAAAGAAATTTTTAAAACTATGGTATGATACAGGTATAAAAAATATATTTGTATAATCATAATAATAAATTCTACAATGAGACTTTTTAAAATAATTTTTAGCACATTTTTTAAACAATTTTTTAAAATTATACTTTTTTATTGTGCTCATAATTTAAAAATATACATAAATTTTTAAAAGCGCGACTTTCAAGGAAAAGGAGCGATTGAAATATAATTAAGGTTTTTAAGATTAAATAGATGATATTTCATTTTGGCGAAAATATACAGAACATTTCCTTTTTAAGCGATTCGAAATTTAAATAATGCATTATAATGCCACTTGCGTTTAAGAGAATCACTTAAAAATAATGGAATTAAAAAAATATTGCATATATACATAATAGCGGACGGCGACTTAAAATATTTCAGTCAAAAGGCTTTTAAGAGAAAAAAAAAAGCAGTACACGAAATAGAAAGGGCAAAATATAATACACGTGAAAAGGAAATACATGCAATCTTTAACATGCGGTTACAAAATATAAAACTGGAGTCAGCATTATTAGAATTCTGTTGAATCTGTAAATAAAATTGCGTAATATACGTGTTCGTATCCATGCTTAGTTACATGCTATTTTACAGATGCATTTAATTATTTAAAATGCACCCAAAATAATATGCATACTTCATAAAATTTATTTTTATTTTTAGTCCAAAGGGGCTTTGTCCCTGAAGGACTATTGTTTTCGTTTTGCAATTTTGCGTTGAATCATTATAAATGTCCGTTTCACTTTTCAAACTGTTGCCACCAAATGTTAGAGTTCTCCATTATATTTGAAGAAATTAAGAATGAAAAATCTGCATAAATGTATGTATATTTCTCGCATTGTGATAAAACAACCTTTCAGATTTTTTTTATTTTTAAAATATCTTTAAACTTTGACTATAACAGTTTTCAGAAGAATGATGAAAATTCCGAATTTAAATATGACTTTTGAGTTTTGACTTGTTACACTGTTTTGTTCAGGTTCATTTGTTTTGTTTGGCTCTTTAGACGAAATTCTGATATTAACTCTTAATCCATTTTTTTTTTTTTTCCCCGAAAGGAGTGTTTTGAAAAATTGCACATATAACGTATTTGCTATGATAATGCATTCTTCCACCGTGATCTTTTCTAAAGTTCAATGTAGGCGATTTTCGTTTAAAATGAGTTTTGGAGAGAATTGGATGGAACTTATGCTCTTTTGAACAATCTAAATAATCATCGCACAATTTCGATTTGGGCATACCATTAGAGATAAAAAAATTTTAAAAAAAAAAAAAAAAAATCTGAGAGCATTCAGATTTTACATTATTCCCAAAAGGACTTTTTTAACGTTTTGTGTGTTAGCTTTATTTATTAAATATCATGTTCTGTGCACTTAAACCATAGACTTCGATTCAACAACAATATCGTAGAATAATTTTAAAATGAGCATATTTTTAGAATTTCCGATACACAGTTTCGCGCGCTGGAGACGAAAATGTTATTTTTCCATACAATGTTGCCATTACTTGCTTTGAAATCGTTGAGTTTGTTAATCAAAAATTCGTTAAAGTATTACAAAACATGAAATCGATAATAAAACAAATTTCAAATTCCAAATTAGGGCTTTCAGAAGCCCATATTCAGTGGAGGATTATGTTATTCAAAATTTGATGGCTTATAACACAGGGCTATAATATTTGGTGGCAACAATCTGAAAAGTGATTCGCCGTTTATAGTGAATCTACGCAAAATGCGAAAGCGAAATTAATGGCCCTTCTGGGCTAATAAAGAAATTTTTTCAGGATGATTTTTTACGTAATTTATCGATTTCTCTGAAAGTGATCAATCATCTTCAGATTTCAAGGCTACTAACTATATAGATATATAGTTAAATCAAAATTGCCAATGAGAATTCCAGTTAGTTAAATGCGGCCGTGCATAATCAGATGGATCAGACATCTGATGTCACGTATTTAATTGCTCTATCAAATATAGAGAATGCATTTCTTATGTTAAGAGACAATGATTTCCGGTATTTGTTACTTTTTCGCTTCTCTGGACGATGTAAAAACTAAACGTCGTGTGCAAAGTTTTCAGATTACTTGGTTTTAATTAAATGCACTAAAAATAAAAATATTTCTTTTAGTTATTATTTCGTTTAATCAGATGTGATTGAAACAAAACTGTGTGTACCCATCAAAGCATTATACCGAGATATAACAGTTAACAGAATTTTGACTAATAATAAAACTAATAGTAAAGAACTAGTATATATAAGATTGATTGCATTCAATATAATAAATTTATCGCCAATGATTTTGGTTTAAAATGTATTATTTCTAATTGCTCCATGATTTATTTTTAATGAAGTGTGACCGACCTTGACCGATATAGTTTTTTTTCTTTTCCACAGATTTAACTAAACCATGTAACTTTAATGATTTTTTGTACAAAAGTTAATTAAAAACATGTTTTATGAAGCTGTCGGTAGTAATCTGGCCATTATATTTTTTCTGTAAAAGTAAACTTTGATGGAGTTTAGGTTAGAAGTCCCTATGATTTTGCTAAAAAGCTCCATACATTAGTTGCTGGAATAATTTTATTAAGTTGTAATTAATAAAATTCAATTGTATTAAGAATGTAATTTCATTAAGGGGACTCGTACACCTTAAATCCCTCATGATCTTCGAATATGTGACTGTTGCAAGAATTGGAATATTTTATTTATTTTAAAAGTAATTACTTCCTAACTTTTTACAGCTGACTACATAATATAGCTGCTTTGGAAACTAGTAACCAGAAAGTTTGTGTTGCCGCAAATATTTTTGTAATTTAATCCTCTTTGTGACAAAATGTTTCGCCATGTTTCCACATTGTGCGCATGATATTTTAAAAATGGCTAATGGTATATACTTGAAATTCGATGGAATTCTTTATATGGGCACTATTTTCTAACTGAACCAACAATTTGATGAATAGTTAATAATGAAAAATTTTATGGACGAAAACATTACAAATTTGTTTAATAAAATACATTTTATAAACTCAACTCAAAATAAAATATAAATTTAACATGGAATTTTTAGAATTTTAGGTTCACAGTAGTTTCCAAATGTTATAAAAGCTACATATTAAATATGGAATTAAACTATGAAACAGAATGTTTTAAACTGTGCGCGCAAGTTGGAAACATGACGAAAAGTGTTGTCAAAAAGCGGATTAAATTATAAAAATATTTGTGGCAACATAAACTTTCTTATTACTGTTTCAGAAAGCAGCTATATTATGTAGTCAGCTGTAAAAAGTTGGTAGTAATTGCTTTTAAAATAAATAAGTTATCCCAATTCTTGCAACAATCACCTATTCGAACATCTTATGGGTTTCAAGGTGTATGAGTCCCCTTAAGTATTACTATTTTAACGCCCTTTAAGTATTACTATTTTACTTCGACTCAGTTAGAAATGCAGAACAAATATACGTATTTTTTGTAAGTTGGATCTGCCTGCATAAATTTTATTTGTCTTTGTAGAATACCTGAATAGCCCAGCTAGAACTGCAACCGAGTATAGAGTGGAATTACAGGAATTAGTTAGTTCGGAATATTACTATTAGATACTGATTAAGAATATTTGGTACTTTGCCGTTTTGCACCTGCCACGCATTTTGATGCCTGAAAAAGCGAAGCCAAACACACACCAAGTCTCAACGACAGTGCCATCTGGGCTATCATGGTGTGTGTGTTTGTGCCTCTGTAAACTTTTCTAATAATTAGAAATCGTTTATAATTAAAACCTCCACCAGAATGCGTAGCAGGTGCATAACGGAAAAGTACCGAATATTTGTATAGAAGCTGGTTTTGATTGAAATAAAAGTTAGGATTAGCATAACAGTTTGATGATAATAGACGATACTTTTGTGAAAATATTGAAGAATATTTGTATTTATTTTTGTAGTGAAAAAGCGAATTAAATGTATAATTTTAAAATTTACTTTTTGATTGCCATTACTCAGCTAAATTGTAAATTATTAAATTTCACTTAGATCTGAAAATTAAATTTTGTATCAACTTTTTAATCTACTAGATTTTGTTTCAAAGAGTTTATATTTTTGAAATTTGATTTTATATATCATTTATTGTATTATTTACTTTAGCAGAGTTTTTAGATTTTCTTATATTTCTCAGGAAAAATACAATTTTTTTTCTACACATCCTCTTACACGTTTAGTTATGAAATTCTGAAAATCGATTAATTTATAATAGACTTTATAAGATTGACTTTGTTTGCATATTGATATGGTTTTAATTTTTTTAAAGTTTTTATTTATTTACTTATTTTTAGATTTGGTAGTTATAAAATAAGAGAAAAGCGAGCTAAATCAAAAATTCGCATTTCTTTTATTTTAACAAGATATATTCATTCAACTTAAAATTAATGTCAACTGTAATTTCAAACTAGCATTTTATTGCCGTTCTTTCCAATCACGATAGAAATCATCTGCATTGTTTAAAGATCTTAAAGCATTTCCTATTAGTAATACATCTACAAATATAAGGTACTGTGGAATATTAAATTATAAAATGTATTACAAAGCTCGTTGTTAGATCGTAAGTATTGTCTTTGCTGAAGGACGTAATATAAGGAGTTATAATCATCTGTTATTCATTAGAACGATGGTGTAAGTGTTTATAGAAGTTACCTGTTACGTGTATTATAAATTACGTGAGTTTGATTCATTATGATTTGCATTAACTGTAAGGATGAATAAAAATTTAATAAATGAGTATCTTTTATTTAGATTACCCAGTTTGTTAAGCATATTTAATTTTAATTTCAAAGATTAATTAAACATCTTATGCTATATTAAATGACAACACCACACTAAAATATCTTATGTCGCGTAAAACAGCAATATTTGCCAAGTCGCGCGAATGATGAATGCTCTGGTAATGTAATGCAGACGACTAACTACAGACGTTTCTAACGCGTTGTGTAAACGACGAGGAGACTTCACATTACTAGATCACTTTCATATGTTGTAAAAACAAGTTTGTCGTTCAGTCTGTTTGTTAGACTGAAGTATGATTTACAGAAAGATAAATTCTCAGTGAGGTATGCCGTTCTCAGGAAACCGTCACACAGAATCCGTTACGGTTGGCTGGTAAAGTGCACGATGACAGAAATGACATTTTATGTGTTCGTGCGCGCAGCTTTAGTTTTCAGAAAACCTTGAAAAAATTAGAATGCAAACATTTCCGTTCGGTATAGGGAAAGAGAATTTAAATTTAATGTATGGTTCAGGAATCTTGTTATAAAAGCGTATTTTTTCGCTAGCTATTCACTATTAACTTTTCTTCCAGACTGAAAGCAAGAGCGAATTGAAGAAATGAAGACGTGGATCATCGCAATATTTGCCACAGTCCAGGTATATGAATACTTATTTATAACCACAATATGCTACATGTAAATAAACAGAATAATACATTCAAGTATCTGAGGTAGATCAGCCAAAAGGAAAATAACAAATCAAGAATAATGAATAATATATTTCGTATTAATTTATTAATTATTGTTCATTGAACGGGAGTTGGTTTGTTCCCCTTGAAAAGTCAACTAATTTCCGATCAATTACAATAATTACATGCATTTAATTTAATTCTTGCCTTTAAGTTATTCCTTTTACACTTGAAATTTTGTTATTCATGATTTAATTCCAGTCCACGTTAAAAATTTTTAACATTTTACTTTCATGTTACTTCAAAACATCTTTCAAAATATAACTTACTAGTATGGATTCACTCTTTTAAGATAATCCTACTATATTAAACTTTGGAGATAATATAATCAATTAATTAATATTATTTAGTAAATATATATATATATATATATATACAAATATTATGCTACAAATATATTTAAAATATATTTTGTAGCATTTTTTTACTTAGTTAATTAATCAGAAATTAAAAATTTTAAAAATAAACTCAGTATTTTGTGTAACTGTAAACATATAATATTTTATACTTAAAGTTCAATTAGGAGTTTTGAGAACATATAACCTATATATATATATATATATTATATATTGTTGTTACCGTGAATATATTGTTGTTACCGTGAAAGACCGAAATTGGAGAATGTCGACTTTCACCGGAGAATGTCAACATTCACCAAGTACGTCGGAGAAATATTGAATATTTCTTTACATTCTTGTACATTCGGACCCTCACCGGTGTATGTCGACAATCACAGATATGCTCTGGTGTAGGTCGAAAAGAGAGGAGTATATGTACACGCTGCCATTCCAAACGGAAGTGTTCCACAAATAAATGCAGTTGTAAAAGCAAGGGCCTCTTGTGCAATTCAAAGTGTCATAATAGTTTAAGTTGTTGCAATAAATAAGATTTGAATCACATAATTTGGTAAGTTTATAACTTCTATTATTTTCCTTTCTCATTTTGAATATACTATGTGTTTTAAGTTCTTATATTCTTAAGTTCTTATTCTGAGTCTCAAGTGCGTTTTTTCGCGAATGGATTACGGAGAAGGAAATATAATATTCTTATATGTTCAACATTCACCATTAGTACATGGTGAATGTCGACATTCACAGATGTAAGTCAGAAATAAGAATATTTGGAAAATATTTCGGACATACACCAAGCGACTATGTGAATGTTGACATTCACCGGTGAAAGTCGACATTCTCCAGATTTCGGTGTTTCACCCTAACATTGTAATGTGCAATAATTATAGTTATATATCTACTTATCTTTTCTTGTAAATGTGTGCAGAATGATTTTGCTACTTGAGAAAGAATATAGGTGAGTATTTATTCGAAATAATAAAAAAAAAAAAATAAATAAATAAATAAAAAAAAATGTATACATAAAAATAAAATAAAATAAATAATAGGATTAAAGTAAATCTAAAATTTAATTTTACCTGATTTTGTACATTAAACTAATGTACTTCTTTTCTGTCTAGAGTTGTAAGGATTATGTTAATTTTATTAACAGTTAAATTTTAAGTTAAAGTTCCTTTCCTGTCCAATTCTTAACTTCAACTTACTACTTCCGGCCAGAACCTAGTTTTGGAATCATTTTAAATACTTAATGAGGAGGAGCGGTATTTAAACCGCGAAGTCTACTTGCAGAAGTAGAGAGAATCAGAGTTTCTGATTTGCGCGCGTCTGCCTTTCTGCTACTCTCTCTCTCAAAGCTGTTATTACGCTCGGCCGTACTCAGGCCCTTGATAAGCTTCGTAATCAAATAGAGTTAAGGGGCCAACTCGATTAGAATCTTGATAGCTTCGGCTATATTTCTTTAGTTAAATCTTAGTTTTAGTTTAATTCTTAGTCTCTTAAGTTCAAGCCCAAGTGTCGCCTTTTATTGTACACTCCAAGACGGTGGTGTGGTGTATTTAATTATGGCAAAGCACACTAGGGCTATCTGCCTAAGGGGAGGGATGCCTTCGTGGAAGACTTTCTAAGGGAAACTGGCTCGTATACACGTTACACATGGGGAAAACCACGAAAACACCCATGCAGCCAGCCCGTTCGCGGGATTCGAACCACGGACCGAACTACCAGTGTTCAGCGACTTTACTGCTCGGCCGCTGGTCGGCTCACTCCAAGACGGAGTTTTGTTAAATCTTATTGGAGTAATTAAGGGTTAGTTACCCTTCCTTCTTGTTGCTTCTTGTTACACGAACTTATGCGATTATTCGCTAACTAGTTCTTAAGATTCGTCATTTTCTACAGTAACTGAGAATTACACAAGTGAGAATCTTACAGAATGTTAATTAATGTTAACTATTTTTAGTGTATATAATTAAATACTTGGTGAAAGGTACAGTAAAATGTTTTTACTCTTTAGTATTTGTTATAATTATAGTTACTGTATCGATATTTTGTTGGGTTTGACCAAAGCATTCCAGGGCTATTTACCTAATGCGAAGAGTGTCTTCGTGAACGGCTTTAAAGGGTAACTGTTTCGTATATATGTTACACACAGGAAAAGTCACGAAAGCGGCCAGTTGTCCGGCCCATTCGCCGTGATTCGAAGTCCGGCCCGAACTACCAGTGTTCAGTGATTTTATCACTCGGCCGCTGGTGCACCTATATGGATATTCGGACGTAATATTCTTAACGCTGAATTCAGCCTGCCACGCATAACAAATGCTAGCATAGATTGAAAAATTCTCATAGTAACCGATCTGAAACATCATCTTGCATAATAAAAACCATCATGGAATGGATTGAATTCGTTATGCGAGGCATCATAATAGTTAAATTAATTCATTATCATGTATAACTATAAGTAAAATTGCAGTCATTATATATTTTCTTTTATTGTAGATCGCATTGTGTTGGGGATGTATGAGAAGAGGCGTCGAATGCATTGATTATGAAGTTATAACTAGGAATCCTGTGAGTATTAAACCATTCTTAGTAGTTGCAGACTTTGAGAATTTCTTCTGTGTCTGGCTATAAAATAAATCCTTGATATTTTTATTGAAAATGAAAATATAATTTACATTTATTACTACATATTTACTACTATAACGGAAGCGATAATTTTCCAGTTTCATATCTTTTCTAAATTAAAAAAATCTGATGTGTACACCACATGACTTCCTTGTACGGAATATTAAATTACACGCATTTTTTTCTTGAATTTCATTTAATTGATTGGATTGAATTAAATCTACTTCGTCGACAGCGCATAAACCCAAAGAATAAATGCACCTTTAAATTGCACTATATTTGTTTACTATACGACACTCTGATGCACAAACTTTATATCATTTGAAGAATTATCTTATCGTTGCCACATGTTCTATTCATACTATAATAAAGCTGGAACGATGGATAAGAAATAGGCAAACAAACAGAAAAGAAACAATTTTTCACAACGATTAGTATTTCTCATTCATTAATTCAGTTCTCACTTCGCGACAAGGCAAAAATACATAAAACTCATAATACTGCTTAAAAATTACGAAGTAAATCTAAACACTTATTTCCTCGAAAAAATTCCAGAAAGGATTAAGCATGATTAATTCGCAATAATAAATGAAGGCGTTTCTTTGTGTTGCGAACTACGTTTCTCTAGATGGCAAACAAATCCCTACTCTGCTGTTTCAAATGTAAACAAGCAATGGCCGCCATCAAAAAAAAAAAATATAGGTTTAAGCGGCACGTTAACAACTTAAAATTGTTGATAATTCTAAAATATTGCCACACATTTACTAAAGGCAAAAACCTAACTGGAATAAAAACAACATAATTCTTATTTTTAAGGCAAAAAAATTACAAACATATATAGAAAGAAACTGAGATCACTGAGCGGGAGCAGCGTGGATATCTATATAAGTGGTGGGGGGATAAAAGATAGACAAAATGATGGCATGAGAAGAAGGGAGGGGGGGGGATCAAATCAAGGGACGCTCTTTTCGCAGATCGAAAAGGATTGTCTATCAACGCTGGGGCGCTGCGGCTAATCGTTTCGAGTATGCGTGATCCGTCGTACGTACAGACGTTCGTACAGACCCACTAATATTGTCTCAATTTTAGTTAAAAGCAGTTTATAATTTGTTGGAGGAACGAGGCTTTTAGTCTGTCCTTAATTCAGATACGCAAAAACATCGTTAAATTGCATTCGATAGCGTGAAATGGTTATTCTCTTGGTTAATGCCTGCTGAAACGTTTTCGCGATACAAGACTTCCTTTTTCTTCGTACAGGAGTAAAAATTAATTTTAGCTTATATAGAACTCAATATTTGAAAAGACGTCCTTCGTTTCATCTGTTTGAAAAAAATATGGTCATTAAGGTTGTATATATTTTATATGTTTCTTTGATTTAATAATACAAAAATTAAACATGTGGTAAGGCTTTTAGAACTTAAAATTAATTTGAAATAATTGGTGACTTTGCCATTGTATTGGCGTAGAGTAAGAAATCAGTTACAAGATATAAACTGCTAAAATATTCATTTTATGTGCTACCAGAACCCTCGAAACATTGTAAGTACGGCACAATTTAGCATTAAAACGTTTCGTTCGTCGTACAATGTTCCTAATAGATTAAACTTCCATACGTTATATTTGTTTGTCTACGAATGAATAAGGGTTGTCTGTTTGTTTTAGGTTAAGCTTGTGTAAAAATAATAATCCGTTCTTATTTTATTTTAATTGTACAGATTAAGTTCCTAACATAAATATAATCATGAATAGGCTCTTAGTCTCTCAATAAAAGACTCTCATCATTTTCATTTATCGAAGTACCATAGTTTATTTAAAAAAACAATGTTTACTCTCTACTGAGTAAAATTGATTTCCTTCGCTGCTTTATCTTAATATATACTGGTCTCAGAAAAAAGCGTTCTCATGATCCGGTTTTCAATTATCCGTGAGCTATCTTTCCGGCCAGAAAATTTGTATGTTTTTTTTGAATTGCGGTGGCACCATTCTATTGTACGTTTAGTAATTTCCATAAAAATCTTATAAACTTTGCACACAAAATTAATTTCTTAGCATTAGGATTAATAAGTCAGGCCTTCTTCAGTGTTTTATTCGCCTATTGTCATGCAGATATTTAAATTTGGTAGCGCGCGTGAAGGAATGCACATTGTAACTTTAGGACAAGGATGGGTCAACTATGCCTGGGGGCCAACTGCAGCCCACCGGAAGGTTCTATCCGGCCCGCGGATAGGATTTGAATCTGCCCGTCCGATGCAAATTAAAAAAAATATATATTATGTATCCACCTCTTTTCTAGTTTGTTTAAATATTATTTTTTTATTCCTTTTTTCAAAAGACTGATGATCTTTTTACTTTCTCTATTTTTGTTCTACAAAACCTAAATCGCAGAAATAGCAAGCACAGACAACTTTCAATCGATAAAGTGTTAAAAGCGTTTTTGCTATTTATAGCTGTAGATTGGCGCCAACAGGCCTTATTTCTTTCTCAGGGAGCAGATACATGGGAATCCAATATAGGTGAATTAGACATCTTAGAAAAAACTTAATAAAACTTAATCAGTTTGCTAGGCAGCTAGTTAAGAATGACTTGTCTCATTTCCCGAGGTTAAATTCAATACCCTCAGTATATGAAGAGAAGCTTAAGAATTATGAAGGTGGCTTGAAAAAACTGCATTTTGATTTCGAACGAAGATTTCAAGATTTCAGTGCCATTCAAACAGAACTGGATATTTTTACCATGCCTTTCAATGTATGTGAAGCAATTAAGTCAGATTTGCAGTTTGAATTAATTGAGTTGCAATCGAACAATCTTCTCAATCAGTTGTTTCTAAATATGCCAAAGTTAGAGTTTTACAAATCATAATCCAAAGAATTTTCCAATTTAATATCTCACGCCCAAAAATCAGTGCTATGTTTGCTTCCATTATATATGGGACGCTAAACCTTAAAAGATTAGTCAGAAGACTAACTAGCAGATGAGCATTTAAGCCTTGTTCCTTCGAATCAGTATATCTCACTTCGAACCTCAATATAAGGAACTTTTAAAAATGAAATCGCAATTTCATTCGTCTCATTAACATATTTAAATTGTAATACTTATATATTGTTTTTAAAATTTTAGAAAAATTTATCTTGGCCTTCCAAACTTTTTTTTTTCCTATTTTTGGCCCGCGACCGAAAATGTCTGCCCAAACCTGCTTTAGGACAAAAGGTTTAAATACTGAGTTCTAGAAGGGAAAGAGAGAGAGAGTGGCCAAGCGCAGTACCTTTGTAGCGTGAGCTTTTGGTTCTGAATTTACTGCTGGTTAGAGTGGCTTAACAGCTATTACTTTGCTGCCACTAGACTTCGACTCGGTTTTACGTAACAGGATTATCTGCTCCCTGGGAGAAATTCTACTGTTTTGTTAATATCTTTGAGTTTTTAGTTTAGTACTTGTTAGTTGAGTTACTGCCTGAGCGAGGAGTAGTTTGTTAGCGTTAAATCGACGCATTGTGAATTTTAAAGAGTTTTAATAAAGGGTTCTTCTAACCCTTCTCCTGTCTGGTTGCTGCATATACTTCAGCTGTCACTCCAAAAACTTAACAAGTAGCGATTACAAGTATATTGTTGTATATTATATTTATAAAGTTAAAAAGAGATCACACGTTTACGTTTTCTACTAGTAAAAAAATACAGTTTGTTTAGAACACTAAAATTTTTAATAACGAACTTCATTTTTGTGAAATCAATAATCTCATTTAAGTCTACCTTTTTTGCTCATTTAAAAATTGATAACACATACTGTTTGTTACATTTATTGTATTGTGTGCCTTTTTATTATTATTAGTCCAAAGAGACTTTGTCCTTGAAGGACTATTGTTTTCGTTTTACGATTTTGAGTCGAATCACTATAAACGGCGTATCACTTTTCAAATTGTTGCCACGAAATGTTAGAGTTCTGCATTATATTTGAAGAAATTTAAGTAATGAAGAACCTGCATAAATGTATTTATGTTTCTCGCATTGTGATAAAAGAACGGTACATAGAGCCATCGAATTTTAAATAACGTAATCCTTCTACGAATATGGGCATCTGGAAGCCCAAATTCGAAATTTGGAATTTGTTTTATTATCAATTTCATTCATTTGTAAAAATTTAACGAATATTTGATTAAGAAACTCAACTTTTTTAAAGAGAGCAATGGCAACACTCTACGGGGAAAGAAAAACTTTTTATCTCTAGCGCTCTGAACTGTGTATCGGAAATTCTAAAGATAGGCTCATTTTAAAATTATTTTGCGATATTGCTGTTGAACTGAATTTTATGATTTAAGTGCAAAGAACACGATATTTAATAATAAAAGGTAACGCACAAAACGTTACAAAAACGCCCCTTTGGACGTAATTCAAAATCTAAAACATTTCAGATTTTTTTTTAAGTCTGTTTTAATTTTTTTTAAGGATGGGGTTGCCGGGAGAAATTCATAAGGAATGTATGTTTTTTTAAAACACTTTGAGATTTAAATAAACATTATTGTATTGCGTATAGCATAAATTAACGTTCTGTTATTGTCACTGAGATCTATATATGTTCTTTTCTCAGTTCTCGCAGAAGGAATGTATATTTCCTTTTCCTCAGTTATTAGCATTTCAATGCTACATTCTGAATTTACCTTTTTATTGTATTTTGCATGCTTTGCTATGCAGAATCGTTTTACACCTGAATTTTTATGTTACGGATGTACGGCAATTTTTATTATCTTCTAACAGGAATATGAAGAACGCCAATACCCAGCTACAGTCTGGGTGAGCGCACGAGAGACTGGACCTTCCTTATCTAGAGCACAAATCAATCTCTACAAGAAACTATTCCGGTACATTCAAGGTGACAATCTCAAAGGTAAAACAGCAAGTTACCTCTTTACAAGAAGTAAAAATATTGCTTAATATTATTTCTGATAAATATAATTTGAAACCATCTTGATGAAGAAAATTAAATACTTTTATCTGTAAAATATACATTTAGCAATGGTCATGGATTCAGCTGATGAATGTGCTTACCTTTATTTTATAGGTGCATTTATTAACAGCACAACACCAACAAGGACGAAGGTAGTACCATGCAGAGAGGACTCAGTATGCGAACCGACTTACACTATGTCTTTGCTGATTCCAAGCGCTCTCTACAATGACCTTTTCCCTATTCCCACTGATGTGGATCTGTTTTTTGAGAGAGAACCACCTAAGAGATATGTTGTCAGGTACTTGTGTTATATTATTTATATTTTTAGCATCGGAATGACGAATAATATGCTACGTTTTGTTCTCCATATATATATTTGATTTTCCATTTCTTTTGAATTTAAATTCAGTTAACCTATATTGTCGTTATTTCTTTTTCCAAATAACTAAATTAGATTCTACAATGAACCCGGCGAATTCTCGCACAGACGTGAATAAAACCAGCACAGAAGAAAGGTGCAAGTAACCCTTTATTAAGGGGACTCATACACCTTAAACCCCTCATGATCTTCGAATAGGTGACTGTTGCAAGAATTGGGATATTTTATTTATTTTAAAAGCAAATACTTCCAACTTTTTACAGCTGACTACATAATATAGCTGCTTTGGAAATTGATAACCAGAAAGTTTGTGTTTCCACAAATATTTTTGTAATTTAATCCTCTTTGTGACAAAATATTTCGCCACGTTTCCACCTTGCGCGCATGATATTTTAAAAATGACTAATGGTACATATTTGAAATTGGATGGAATTCTTTATATGGGGCACTATTTTTTAACTGAACCAACAATCTGATGAATATTTTAATATGGAAGAATTTTATGGACGAAAACATTACAAATTTTTTTAATAAATTACATTTTATAAACTCAACTCAAAATAAAATAAAAATTTAACATGAAATTTTTAGAATTTTAGGTTCACAGTAGTTTCCAAATGTTATAAAAGCTATATATTAAATATGGAATTAAATTATGAAACAGAATGTTTTAAACTGTGCGCGCAAGTTGGAAACAGGACGAAAAATGTTGTCACAAAGCGGATTCAATTATAAAAATATTTGTGGCAACACAAACTTTCTGATGACTATTTCAGAAAGCAGCTATGTTATGTAGCCAGCTGTAAAATGTTGGTAGTAATTGCTTTTAAAATAAATAAGTTATCCCAATTCTTGCAACAGTCATCTATTTGAACATCTTATGGGTTTTAAGGTGTATGAGTCCCCTTAAATTCAAATAGTTGACAGAAAGGCACGATCTTCGTGCGTTACAATGGCACCGTCACGGTGAAACTAAAAACGTAGAATATAATTCAAGTCAAAAATCTAAAATAATTAATGCTGGATAGTACGTAAGTTAAGCCTAGTAGGTTGACTCACAAAAACCTAACAGGCGGGATGATAATCCGAAAAGCAAAGAGGCTAACAGAGCGGAACAACAACGAAACGTGCACTGGCTAGCCAAAACACGCTCTGATTAAACTCAGAGATTCACCAGTTTAAATACGCACTTCACTTAACTTTAAATTTACAACCTGGCGAGAGAATGTGAGGGAAAGTTGAGAAGTTCAGTAAAGGTATCGAATTCAAAATACATTTGTTATGCAAAATAAGGGTCAAACAAATGTCACTACAAACCTTCTAGTGACATCGCTTAAACAAATATTTCAGAAAGGGGATTATAATGCATTGAAAGAAATATCATTTGTACTTAAGATCATCATTTTAAGGGGACTCCTTTACACCTTAAACCCCTCATGATCTTCGAATATGTGACTATTGCAAGAATTGGGATATTTTATTTATTTTAAAAGCAATTACTTCCAACCTTTTACAGCTGACTACATAATATATAGCTGCTTTAGAAACTAGTAACCAGAAAGTTTGTGTTGCCACAAATAGTTTTGTAATTTAATCCGCTTTGTGACAAAATATTTCGGCATGTTTCCACCTTACGCGCATGATATTTTAAAAATGGCTAATGGTACATACTTAAAATTGGATGGAATTCTTTATATGGGCACTATTTTCGAAATGAACCAACAATCTGATAAATATTTTAATACAGAAAAATTTTATGGACGAAAACATTACAAATTTTGTTAATAAAATACATTTTATAAACTCAACTCAAAATAAAATAAAAATTGAACACGAAATTTTTAGAATTTTAGGTTCACAGTAGTTTCTAAATGTTATAAAAGCTATATATTAAATATGGAATTAAATTCTGAAACAGAATGTTTTAAACTGTGCGCGCAAGTTGGAAACATGACGAAAAATGTTGTCACAAAGCGGATTAAATTATAAAAATATTTGTGGCAACACAAACTTTCTGATTACTATTTCAAAAAGCAGCCATATTATATAGTCAGCTGTAAAACATTGGTAGTAATTGCTTTTAAAATAAATAGTTATCCCAATTCTTGCAACAGTCACCTATTCGAACATCTTATGGGTTTTAAGGTGTATGAGTCCCCTTAAGAGAACTACTTTCAGAAAAGATTAAAATCTCCATATGAAATTTCTAGTGTTTTAGGTATCGGACTCTTACAGTGTTTTTCGGAAAAAAATCTAAATAACTGAAGTTCGGTCTCAGTACAAAATAATGTCTATACATAGACCAGTTTTATCTGAGTAACAGTGAGGTAATCCCTTCATATGAATTCAACGTCGTTGCTCTTTGCTGGTACCAAGATGTTGCTTGATGGGTTACAACTTGTTGAATCTATTCTACCTGCCGCTCGACTGATACAAGGTTAGTGGAAGCGGTTACTGTGTTGTGAACCTGGTCGCAAATACCAGTTAAACTTTGAACTAGCCAAAGCAAAATCTGTTGACATGAAAGTTCTCGTATATTATTGGTGAAGAAGAGATTGGTGATTGCTTTCATTCTGTGCGGTCTTGAACAAAATATGGATGGTGTGGATTGAAGTTATACTATTATAGACGTCTCTTATCAAAAGAGACAAGCTTCGGAAATTTCCTGTTCAGAGTAATTTTCTGCTGACTAAGTCATATTTGAAGTTTCTGCCTTTGCATATGTATTTTTTGTTCACCGTGGACAACTCAGGAGGCATAAGCTATTCGAAAAGTTTGTGACATAGTGGTGCAGTCTCATCTCCTGTAGCAATTCGTTCCAGTACGACAAGGATTTATATGATATGGCAAGGTATGAGGCACGACAAGATGTTATTTTGTAGAGTAATTAGGTTATTTTGAAGCAGAAGAAGTGAAAAATGCCAATTCCCTCGCCGCGAGTCGAATCTGAACTTCTCAAATACGCTCCGAGTGAGTTACTGCTGCGCCAAGAAGGCATGCAGAAAAATGGAAGAAAATACCTTATAATGTGTTGGCCTGATGGCTGAACTTGTTTCGCCTCGGGAGGTGGGAGGGGGGGTAACCCCTACAACAACAACCTTATAATGTGTTTCAAATGATCCTCATTACAGTGGGTGGGTAACTGAAGCGCAGAGAGAGTCGTTGGAGAACTATGCACCCCGGAAGGAGTCAAACCATTTTCAGGCTATCTTCGATGCAATAACATCTAAATACAACACTAACTTGCTAAATATCATTTGACTTAGAGTATCCTCCATACAGCAGAAAATATCATAAACGGGTATTATTATACAATTCTCATTCCGAACTTCTAATCCTGGAAAACAGAAAGCCATTTTTCACAGTCACACAACTTCGAATTATTTCGGTGGATAGTTAAATTCTAGTACAAAACATAATTTTCCATCTGTACCATTAGTATTAACTCCCAAAAAATTTTGAAACAAAAGGGAAAGAACATTAAGTCATCTTCCGGTTTTTAGTAAATTGTTTTTAATTATTATTTTTTAAAATAAACAGGAGTGAGCACACATAGCATAAAAATTAGCATGTTAAAAGTTTTAATTATTTCAAGTAATAAATAATTATATTTGCGAAAAGTGATTCAAAATTTAATTTAAACTTTGGATTTCTGATTAAAACTTTGAAAATTTTTAAATTAAAAGTAAACATTAGTCACTACTATTAAGAAGAACATTTCAACAAAAAATAGACGAATTAAGCTCAATCTCATTCTTGCGTATCTATATCCATCAGTATTAGAAAAAAATTATTAATGCATTCAAATCATCAAACAAAAATTTAATTTTTTAAGTATTCCCTTGTAATGATAGTTGAGAAAATATATCCTTTTAAATTAACATATTATTGTAGCTATACAAAATATGATACCAATTGTAATACACACAAAGATTATATTTTTATTTTTTACATAAAACAGAAAGATTAAGTATGATTTATTAGAATGACAACTTGAAGACTGTAAACAAAGAAAATTTCTGCAATTGGTTTTAGCAATTCAAAATTAAACAAGATACTTTACCCTTGGTTATTCAATACATAAGATGCCGCAATAAATAATAATATTAAAATTTTTTTACGTGTTTTGAGCCTGTCTGATCGAATAAATAATATATTTAAATAATATTGGTTTAAACATTAGAAATATGCATTATAAACAGAACCTCGAATGCTTTTCGTTTTAAAATTATTATATAAATGATTTTTATTTTCTTGTTGAAAAATCCAATTTAATACGTTTCAACCTTCTTTGATCAATTTACATATTCTCTTTGTAAGAACTATTTTATCTATATTTGCTTTTTAGGGAATTAGGTTTTAGAGCAGAAAATATTTGACTGAGTACGTAGATTTATTAGAGTCTATGTATTATTTTCAGTAAATTAAACCACAGTTACTTAATTTATTTTCATGCATTTAGTTGTTTGTTTAACTAAGATGTTATGAAACTGTACGCGATTTCAAAATGTTCAATATTTGTTTCATTAGGAAAAACAATGGCTTTCGTTTTATACGGAGATGCCATAAGGCAGTCACAATGTTTGATTGATGACTTTAAAATTAAGGAAATATCGTTCATCTGTAACAACGAATAAATTTTCAGGCAGGTTTACCTGAGTTTCCGAACTATGCAGTTTTAAACTCCACTTTATTTCAAATCCACTTTATTTTATTTTACATTCCTCTGTATCATTAAATACTTCAAAATGACTTTATATATTCGTCAGAGTCAGCCAGAATGAAGTTCCGAAGCTATGAAATCTCAAATAACTGTCGAAATATTTAGTTTCAGTGTTTAGGTTATAAGGTATTTCTCCCGCCTTCTTAGCGTGCCTTCGTGGTGTAGTGGTCTGCACGCTGTGCGCGTATTCCAGAGGTCCGTGATTCGATTGTCGGCGAAGGCGTTGCTCAATTTTCCTCACTCCTGCTTCAAAAATACCTAATGTCTCTACAGTAGCGTCCGAACTAAAAGGGTGGTGGATGATGATTCTAAACACCCAGGATTTGGCGATTGGGTCCCCTAAAACTCCAGTCGCCCTTTTAAAGGGGGAGTGTGTAAGGTATTTCTCCCGCCTTCTTAGAATACCCTTCGTAGTGTGGTGGTCTGCAAGTTGGGCGCGTATTCCAGAGGTCCATGGTTCGATTCCCGGCGAAGGCGTTGCTTAGTTTTTCACCACTCCTGCTTCCAAAATACCTAATGTCCCTACACGGTTCGCATAAATTCACAGCAAACATTCTAATATTCCTTCACGTTTAGAATTTTATAAGTTTACTCTGTTAAGCAAATTGTAGATACAATAAACCGTTTTAGAGATTTTAAACGGTAGAATCTTAAATCTATGTTACATTACGGTCAACGTACTATGTGTGGTTTTGAGGCCCAATCAAAGCCTGCGATAAAGATTTGTAAAGGTATATTTAATATTTTTACATCAACTGATACTTCCAGTTTCTTTTATTTAATGAAAACTTAAATCTACTCTGTTTCAGTCCTCAAATGTGTTAATGATTGTGACATAAATTATCTAGAAGAGAGACGCATATATTGGAAATAATCGTTTACTAAGAAACATCTCTTCATGCATTGATAATTTATTCTTACATTTCTAGGAGCTTTGGTGGGCGACCAAGTGAATCCCAATGGATCGTTGAGGCTCAGAAGTTGGCTGACCTGTCTTTGAAGGAACCAGGAGTTGCCAGGGATCATTATTATCTCAACTGGTACGATCCCCCTCTTCAACTTTTCAATCGCCTTAACGAAGTCTGGATTCCCAAATCAGTCAACGTGAAAAACAACAACCAGAAGAAAGAAATAAAGGATCAGAATGATCTCAACGAAGTCTGCTGAGAGGCTTAAACACCTTGTTCAAATTTATTATTCATTCTTTCTCTACCCACCGTATCTTCAAAGGACTGAGGAATTTTATCTTTTTGATTGAATTTAGATACAAAAGCTTTTCGCCAATCCTGTGGAAATGAATGGATATTTATCTTTTAATCTCTGAAATTCCATAATGGACTAGGATTGAGAAGAAGTTTTAACTACCTTCCTTGCAAACTCCAAGCGTATAAATTCATTCTAACGTTAACGTTCCACTCGGGCTACATTTTCTTCATATATGCATTCGCGGATTTGTTGAAATGGCAAACGCTTTCGCTGCTTTCTAATGGACAGATTTCTTGGACGAAGGTTTTATAATTTTACAGTATTCGAGACTTTATTTATCTCCCTAGCACTTATAACAACAAAGGTATTATAAGTGTAGTGTTCTCAGAAATGACTATTTGCTCCGATTATTATACTAAAATGATTACTGTCAAGTTTCACAAAAAATTTTGAACCTCATCAGTATTTATATTTAGAACAGTTCTGATGTTTGTTTTTGTGTTATGACTGTTGTTGTCTGTAGTGAGTTTTTTATATTTATTATTAAATAGGCATCATTGATTTGAATGATGAAAAAACTACTTAATGCAGGTCATTTAGTATCATCATATTTTTCATGTATCAATAAACACAATTGTTTTTAGTACTTGTTGCAGTCTGTGGTTTTATTAATATGGGATATGAATTCTTATTAGTGTGCAAAAAGCCGGAAAGTGTAAATGACATGTAAAGATTACTTACAGAAAAAAATCTGATGTGTGCACCAAATGACTTCCTTATATGGACTATTAAATTATACGCACTTTTTCTGCATTACATTTACACATATTGAGTTAACAGTTACCGAATTTTGAATTAAATCTACTTCGTCGAAAGCGCATGAACCACAACAGAATAAATGCACTCTTTAAGTTTACTATATTTATTTACCATAGTGACAGATCGGCGCTACGTTCACTTAACAGCATTAACATTTAATTTAAAACTCAGAGTGCACAAAAATTATATCATCTGAAGAATTACCACAAGCTCTATTCAAATACTATAATAAATCTAAAACGATGTATAAAAGAAATTAAACAAATTAAAAAAAAAATCTGAAATGTTTCAGATTTTAAATTACGTCCAAAGGGGCGTTTTTTAACATTTTGCGTGTTACCTTTCTTTATTAAATATCATGTTCCTCGCACTTTAAAACCATAAGATCCATGAAGTTCTGCAACAGCAATATCGCAAAATAGTTTTTAAAACGAGCATATCTTTAGAATTTCCGATACAGAGACTCACGCGCTGGAGATAAAATGTTTTTTCTGCACAACGTTGCCATTGCTCGCTTTGAAATCCTTGAGTTTGTTAATCAAAAATTCGTCAAAGTTTTAAAAAAAATAGGAAATCGATCATAAAACAAATTTCAAATTTCAAATTTGGTCTTCCACATGCTCATATTCGTTGGAGGATTACGTTATTCAAAATTCGATGACTCTATGTACCGTTGTTTTATCACAATACGAGAAATATACATACATTTATGCAGATTTTTCATTATTTAATTTCTTCAAATATAATGCAGGACTCTAACATTTTGTGGCAACAGTTTGAAAAGTGAACCGACATTTATGAGTCCGACGCAAAATGACAAAACGAAACTAATAGTCCTTCGGGATTCAAATCCCTTTGGACTAAAAATGAAACAGTTTTTCGCAGACGATTCAGCGCCGCTTACCTAATGCGCATGCGCTACTAATTAATTCAGTTCTTACTTCGCGGCAAGGCAAAAGAAAAGAATTCAAAATATTTGCATTAAGATTTGAAAGCTATAGAAAAACACTAAACACCAAACACAGTTAAAACAATTAAAAGAACAATTTTTACAATTAAAATTAGTTTCGAAGACAAAACAAGGTAATAACTTAAATATTAATTCCACAATGAATTAAGCATAATTTAATTCGCAATAATAAAAGAAGATGCTGCATTGTTGTTGTGAAGCTTAGTTTCTCCAGATTGGTAACAAATTCACTATTCTGCTAAGTTTCAAATGTAAACAAACATGGCTGCCATGGTAATCAAAAATTAGACTTAGACGTATTTAAAAAAACTTTTAAATTGTTGATAATTTCACAATAATTGCATGCAGGTTAACTAAAGGCATAAAAACCTTAACCAGAACAACATAATTCAATCATTTTTAAAGCAAAAAATGCACAATTAACAAACATATAAGAATAAAGAAACTGAGCTCATTAAGCCGAGTATTAATAAAACTAATAATTCACAAAATAGCATAGACTTTCTAGATCTTCAAATCATTAACTACAAAAAAATTTTACTTTTTGACAAAACAAGAAACTTCAATTTCAATACTAACAAATTAATAAATTGGAACTCCAACATATCCAAAAAGTAATTAACAATACTATAATTAATCAAATACAACGAATTAAAACTATATGCACAGATACAATAGATTTACAACGCGAAATTTTGATCCTTATCAAAATTCTCAAAAATAATCTAAGTCCCTTTCAATTTATCAACCATTGCCTTAAAAGAGCAGGCGTTAAATACTCACTCTAAATCATTTAACTGATAGGGATATGATAATTTATTCTTAAATCTGAGAAGGCGGTATAAGTTGGATGACTGTCAGTTGGAAGATTTGTATATAGTGTAATTACTAAATTTTATATATTGTAAAAAGCTAATTGTCTTCAGACATATACTGTTACTAAAAAAATGGGCCTATTTCCTGCCTTTAGACTGTCTATTAGCTCTTGGACAGCGAAAATGTTTTTTTCCTTTCTTAAATTCTTAATCATTGCGACACGACAATTAGCCAGAAATTAATTAATTTCCATTCACTAGTATTTTCAAAAAAATCTTAACAGACGGTCTCTCTCAGATAAGAACTCCACAAAATACATCCCTCAAGAATTCCAAGTCCCACCCACTACCATAAATTACTTCACCCAAGTCTTACCGACTGATATTATTCAAAGCCCCTACTGCCGCTAAGAATTTTCGGACACCCTACACTTCTGAGTCAGACACGAAGAGAACACTTTGCCAACTCCCCCACTAGAAAGAATATAAGTTACTTAACACCTTTCTGGCCTTTATATCTTCATGTACATTCACTGATCTTATTTATATTATTTTCTATGTTATTTTTATATTATTTTTATATTTTCTTTGATTTGTTTTTACAAAGTTTGCATTATTTATCTTTTTTTATAATCTTCTATGTTTATTTCAACTTTACTTTGATTTCGATTTCATAATGACAATTTCCAATGTTTAATTTCTACAAATAATATAGTACCTCAAATGCATAAAGATGAAAGTGTCGGGGACGGTTACTCGAGTTTTACAGGATTTCTCTACAGTAATTGATTTTTACTCCAAATTGAATTGACTAAAATGCTTCATGAGAATAAGTTCTTTGAGTATCAGCATTGGTTTATAATTCCTACTATTCGCGGAAATATTTGGCCTAACTAGAATTGCCGGTTTGGCTTTAACTTATAACTCGAGTAAAGACGAAACACTTTCGTATTTACGTATTTTTATCAATTATTGTTCATTTGAACGGGAGTTAATCAATTAATCAATACTGTTTAGTATTGATTAATTGATTATATTATCTCCTAAGTTTAATTAAAGTAGAATTATTTTAAAAGTGTGCATCCATACTGGTAAGTTATATTTTGAAAGATGTTTTGAAGTAATTTGGAAGCAAAATGTTAATAATGTTTTAACGGGGACTGGAGTTAAATCATCACGAAGAATAATATTTCAATTGCAAAAGGAAAAATTAAAACATGTAATCATTGTCATTGATCGGAAATTAGTTGACTTTTCAAGGGGAACAAACCAACTCCCGTTCAATGAACAATAATTGATAAAAATACGTAAATACGAAAGTGTTTCGTCTTTACTCGAGTTATAAGTTAAAGCCAAACCGGCAATTCTAGTCAGGCCAAATATTTCCGTGAATAGTAGGAATTATGAACCAATGCTGATACTCAAAGAACTTATTCTCATGAAGCATTTTAGTCAATTCAATTTGGAGTAAAAATCAATTACTGTAGAGAAATCCTGTAAAACTCGAGTAACCGTCCCCGACACTTTCATCTTTATGCATTTGAGTACTATATTATTTGTAGAAATTAAACATTGGAAATTGTCCATTATGAAATCGAAATCAAAGTAAAGTTGAAATAAACATAGAAGATTAAAAAAAAGATAAATAATGCAAACTTTGTAAAAACAAATCAAAGAAAATATAAAAATAATATAAAAATAACATAGAAAATAATATAAATAAGATCAGTGAATGTACATGAAGATATAAAGGCCAGAAAGGTGTTAAGTAACTTATATTCTTTCTAGTGGGGGAGTTGGCAAAGTGTTCTCTTCGTGTCTGACTCAGAAGTGTAGGGTGTCCGAAAATTCTTAGCGGCAGTAGGGGCTTTGAATAATATCAGTCGGTAAGACTTGGGTGAAGTAATTTATGGTAGTGGGTGGGACTTGGAATTCTTGAGGGATGTATTTTGTGGAGTTCTTATCTGAGAGAGACCGTCTGTTAAGATTTTTTTGAAAATACTAGTGAATGGAAATTAATTAATTTCTGGCTAATTGTCGTGTCGCAATGATTAAGAATTTAAGAAAGGAAAAAAACATTTTCGCTGTCCAAGAGCTAATAGACAGTCTAAAGGCAGGAAATAGGCCCATTTTTTTAGTAACAGTATATGTCTGAAGACAATTAGTTTTTACAATATATACAATTGAGTAATTACACTATATACAAATCTTCAACTGACAGTCATCCAACTTATACCGCCCCCTCTCAGGATTTAGGAATAAATTATCATATCCCTATCAGTTAAATGATTTAGAGTGAGTATTTAACGCCTGCTCTTTTAAGGCAATGGTTGATAAATTGAAAGGGACTTAGATTATTTTTGAGAATTTTGATAAGGATCAAAATTTCGCGTTGTAAATCTATTGTATCTGTGCATATAGTTTTAATTCGTTGTATTTGATTAATTATAGTATTGTTAATTACTTTTTTGGATATGTTGGAGTTCCAATTTATTAATTTGTTAGTATTGAAATTGAAGTTTCTTGTTTTGTCAAAAAGTAAAATTTTTTTGTAGTTTATGATTTGAAGATCTAGAAAGTCTATGCTATTTTGTGAATTTATTAGTTTTATTAAGACAATTCGGATAAATGTCGGAGTGTTCAATTTTACCAAAATTATTAATTGTAATAAGGTCATCAATATATCTGTAGGTGTGTTTGTTGTAATTTAACTCTTGTGGTTGTAGATTTTTTTGGAAGTTAAATTCTTTGACAAATAAAAAGATATTACGAGGTGCTGGAATGTAAGCCCATTGGCAATCCTCTGACTTGTTTAAAAAGTTGATTTTGAAACTTGATGTAGTTATGAAAAAGTGTGCATTTTAGGTAGGTTTTCCATTTGTCAAGAGTCATGATATTGAGTATATTAGGGAAAAGTTTTGGTAGATCAAGTAGACTGGTATAGATTTCTTCTAGAGGAAGTGAGGTATATAAGTTTTCAAAATCATAGCAGTTAATGTGTTGGATGTTAATGGTATGAATGGTATTAATGACAGGAGTGTT